TACCGGCCTCAGAGGGTTGCTGTAAGGTTAATGAATATAATGTATGGAATCCGCCCAGCACATGTTAAGCATTCAATCCATGAGGCTCAGAGGACCGCATCTGATGCTCCGGTTCGGGGCTTGGATAGAGGGTGACCTCCGCACAAGCCCACCAAGATGCCCCAAAGTCTCTAAAGTAGGCCCCATTCCAACCCACAAACACTGTGACCTTTATCAACCCCCCGCCCACCACCACCACCAAAGACCACACATATTCCTCTGGAACAACTGAGAAGCCCCAGTTGGACCCAGGAAATTTCTCATCCGTTCTCTTCCCCCTTTTGAGAATGGACCTGCCCTGGGGGAGCAGGTAGGGGTAGGGCGGGTTGCCACAAGAGTGAGTTCAGACCACCGGCGATCTTCCTTCTTCAAACAAGGCTTTGGACTCTAGTGCTTTAAAGCGTGGGTCCAGGGTCCACAGTCTCTCCAAAACAGAGCTCTGGCAAGACTTCACGCCCACTATGCATTTCACCCCAGATCCTTCCACTCCCTGCTTTTTTGCAGCTCCCCAAGTGGCTGTGAGAGTCATGAAGCCACAGACAGTTCACCAATGTGACTCGTTCACCCACGTGTCTGTAGGACCTAGCACAGCGCCCTGCCCAGCGGAACATGCGATAAATATTTATCGAATGGCTGAACGAATGAATGATTCTTTCTCAGTCTGTACTTGGTGCTTCACGAAGCCTTCTTTCTTCCCCTTCCTCGGAGCCCATTGTGGGTCTGCCAGCCTTCTGGACTCCAACAGTGCTTACCATCTGTGCCCGCCCTTTGGCCATGAGCCAAAACCAACTCCGGTTCAATTCAACCAACTTCCATTTCCTAGAGCCCATGGCGCCTTAATTGTACTTTTAAAACAAACTTGGCATGGAACAGAACCTTTTCCAAGACCTTTTGAAAGTCCAAATACATGCTTATAAATTACTTCCCTTTGTTGACACACTTGATTACCATCCGGGAAATAAGTGAGTTCTAGATGACGATGGATAAACAGATGATTATTTGGCAGGCATGGGGGCAGGTTTGGAGGGGTGGTGGAAGGGTGGGGAGGAATGAGACCCGATCCTTGTCTGATGGATTTGCAGTTTCATTAAGTGTGGTGGGGAAACGGGGTTGGCATCTCAGCCATTCAGGGCTGGCCTGGGACTGGGATTTGAAGGGATGCCCAGCAGCCCCTTGAGTGAAAAGAAAGCCAGAATCCCCCCCCACACACCTGTTGTTTTTTGCTGAGGGTTGGGCCTTTTTAAATTTTATGACTAGTCTCCATTCCTGATTCCACCCCCTTCTCCACATCTCCCACCCCCCATGCCGGTCTTCTGTAAAGGAGTGATGTGCTCTCTCTCTGGCAATTATTTCATTTAATGGAATTAGAATTAGCTTTGTATGTATTCATTGAAATATTATTTTGAATAGCAAAACCCTGCAAATAACCAGAAATCTTACAAGAGCTAACTTAAATATATAATGGTAGATCTATAGTCTAAAATACTGTGCAGACAATAAAATGATTTTTAAATTTTTTTTGAAGATTTTATTTATTTATTTGACCAAGACCCGTCGTGGGGCTCGATCTCAGACCCTGGGATCATGACCTGAGCCGAAGGCAGATGCTTAACCCACTGAGCCACCCAGGCGCCCCATAAAATGATGTTATTAAAATGTAATTGACATAGGAAAAATTCACAAGATGTCAAGTGAAGAGATAGGTTGCAAAACAATGATGTGGGGGGAGGGGGTGAGTACGTGCGCCTGCATGCAGCGGGTGTGCGTGCTATTGGCAATGTTTTTTCTTGGCATTTCCCCATTTCCCCAATTTTCTGTATTGAAGGCTGGAGTCAGAGGTAAGGCACCACCAGGAGGGTTGCATTGTAAAGACTCTGAGAGCACAAACAGGGCTATCAAGCAAGGCTTCCTCCAATCAGCGCATTTTGAGGAAGGTGAAAGGCACAGTATATTGGAGAAGAACTCCGGGAAAAAGCTGTTTTTCAAATTCAAGGGGAGGAGATGGTGTCCACTGATGGTGAGGACCTCGGGTCCACCCAAGAAAACTGGTCTTCATTAAAGAAGCAACAGGCAGTGACTCTGGGTTTCTGAACATAGGGGTGAATTGGCGGAAGTGGTGTTGGAAGAGAGTGACAGACGGTCTCCGACTTAGGGTGGCTTGACTAGCAATTCTTTGACATGGTGATAGTGCAAAAGCGATGCACATTCTTAGAAACTGTACTTCAAATTGTTTTGAATTTGGATCTTTTCCCGGGCTGGCTGTATGTGCTCTGATTTGCTCTCATAAATAACTGGTACACTCACAGCCATTCGGTTTTCAGTACAGTATTCAATAAGTTACATGGGACATTCGACACTTCATTATCAAATAGGCTTTGTCTTAGATGATTCTGCCCAACTGGAGGCTAACGGAGGAGTTTTGAGCACGTCCAAAATAGGCTAGGCTAAGCTGGGTTGCAGGTTAGGTGTAGTAAGTCCATTTTCGATTTAATATATTTTCAACTTACGATGGGTTTATCGGGACATAACCCCATTGTTAAGTCAAGGAAGATCTGTATTCTAGCCAGAGCAGGGTGGATTGGGTTATAGGCAGGGAGATCTGCCAGGAGACTCTGCAGTTTGCATATTTGACCTGAGGTAATGAGAGCTTGGATTAAGCTTGTGGCAGCAACACCAGAAAGGAAGGAGCGGGTGGATCTGAGAAAGAAGCAGAGCTAGAGAATCAAATTTGGCTAAATGTACACCAGGTGGTCCATGAAACCATGTAAGGAGACACTTTCCAAGGAAATGGATGTTAAGAGAGAAAAGCTGAGGACTGAGTCTTCAGGGATTCCAACAGTTAACGGGAGGAGGAAAGAAGAGGAGCCAGCAAAGGAGACAGAGGATGATGGGTCAGAGAGATAAGAAGAGAAACTTGAGAATGCAATGCCATGAGGGCCAAGGGTAGGACAGTTACAGGAAGGAGTGGGTGGTTGATGGTATCAAATTCATCCTCGAGGTCGGAGATGCAAACTGAGCAGAGACCCTTGAATTTGGTCGGGAGGTCGCTGGTGAACTTAAGAGAGCAGTTTGGCAAAATGTGCTGGATTCTAGAAGGTTCCAGGGAAGGGAGAGGTGGAGAAATGGAGGCAGCTCGTGGATACCGTCCATGTGACAAGAGTAATGTGTTAGGACTGAGAAGAACAAGCTCAAACTTTATCATTCTAGTCCCGCTACTTAACTACTTGAACTTGTTTCCTCTTCTGAAAATGGGAATAATCCTTTTAGTTCATAAAGCTGTCGAAAGCACAACAGAAGTTTAAATGATGACTTTTATGCGACAGCGAAGGGGCTTCTTCCTCGCCCCCACACCCCCAAACCCTAGAGATTTCTGGGCATGATGTAACAGATAACAGAAGTGTTTTAGCCTTTCAGTCCTGTCCCTAGGTTGATACTGTTTTGAGAATTTTCTAGCTGTGTCCCCTGGCATTCATGCCAAGTCACTTTAACAGTTCTTTCTGAGCCCCTCTGAGGTGAGGACGTTGAGGTAAGGTGGTTGGGGAGGAGTCAGTGGTCAGGGCCAGGTGGAATGCCTCTGAGATCTGTGTAGAAGCTGTTAAGGCTCTCTTTGAGACCCTGGATATAGAGCCCTGGGGTGCCAACCTCACCCCAACACGCAGAAGGCTGCATTCCCTGAAGGGCGCCTGGGGCAGAGGCACCCAAACCCCCTCCTTTATTAACCCATGGCACCTGCAGCCTGAATGGCCTCTGGACCAAAGGGTCTCGAACAGGCAGCTTGATTCTCAAGGCGGCCATAAAGGCATAGCCTTTTTTTCATTCCTTCTATTCTCACTCGGCAACCACACCTGATCAGCACGACCTCCTGTTTTTTTTCTACTCACTGTCTACAAATCAATCCTTTGAGCGCGTTTCCTTGGTGAGGCCCAGGCTGTTTGTAGTTTAACATGCTGTGGTCTGATCTTTGTCTCAGTGCCTTGTTTTCCCTTAAAAGAAGATACCCTCTGGGGGAAAAAATGGCTGCCCCCCAACAAGCCGGCAGGGCCTAGACCTGTTACCAAGCCCTGGAGGGGCTCGGGGCTCTGTGCCGGACGGCCTAACCGGATGTGGAGGTGGCAGGTGCGCGTATTCTCTAGAAGACGCACTTTTCAGATCCTGAGACATCTAGAGACTGTCGTCCAAGGGCCTTTTTAAATGTCCGTGTTCCTTTTAATGGAAGAGCTTGGCTTCATTTCTGGGAAGATGGCTTGCCGGCGGGAAACAGGGTCACATCGTGGAAGGTATAGTCACGTGCTAAGATGTGTCGGCCTCTCTAAAAAATGGGATAGGAGGACAGGGCAGGCGTACTTCCAAGGAGGCCCGGGTATTGTCAGCCACCCTTCTGGGAGACCAGGGAGTCGTACTCTGCTTCAGTCACCCAATTTGTCCTGAGCATCTCCTGAACGCGATGCTCTCCTCCTCGGCGCGGGGGAAGGCAAAAGGGCCGCAAAGATAGGCCAGGGTCCCTGGCTATGCGAGCAGTTGCCATCGGACGTGGACGAGCGGCCTCGGCTGCCCCCGTTATGGCCAGGCAGCGCTGACGGAATCCCGGGGGGCAGGGCTTGCCTTGGGGGCCCAGATGCTGTGTCTGGGCCAAAGCCGGGCCTGCAGGGCAGGTGGCCAGAACTTGGAAGGAATTCTCTTCCGCAGCCCAGGGTCCAGGCCTGGCCCCAGCGAGCTGCCCTGCCAGCCTCCGCTGCCTGGGGCCTCGCGCATTCCGCGCCCCCGCCCCTCCGCGGGCCTCGCCCCCCTCCCTTGTCCCCTTCTCCTCCCCCCACCAGCTGTCCCCTTTCCCCGGAGCGCCGAGACAGCCGCCGGAGCCTGGCGAGAGGCGGCCTCGGGCCCGAGGGGGCGTGGTGGGGAAGGGGAGGAGGGCGGGGGTGAGGGGATAAGGAGGCCCGCGCGGCCCGCGCCCCCAGCCACTGCCCGCCCCGGGAGCCGGGTGCCGCCGCCGCTCGCCCGCTTCCCCTCGCCCCGGGGGAAAGGTCAGCAGCGTCCTGGAGCCGCCGTGCCACTCCCCGACAGCCATGAACTGCAGCGAGAGCCAGCGGCTGCGCACCCTCCTCAGCCGCCTGCTGCTCGAGCTGCACCACCGGGGCAACGCCAGCGGCCTGGGCGCCGGCCCCGGCCCGAGCATGGGCATGGGGGCCGTGCCCGACCCGTTCGTGGGCCGCGAGGCGACCAGCGCCAAGGGCGACGACGCCTATCTCTACATCCTGCTCATCATGATCTTCTACGCCTGCCTGGCCGGAGGCCTCATCCTGGCCTACACCCGCTCCCGCAAGCTCGTCGAGGCCAAGGACGAGCCGGCCCAGGCCTGCGCGGCGCACGAGTG